TATTTTTTTACCCTAGTTATTTCTTCGCCGCTATTTATTTCTGTCTGCCCTTTTTACATCTCTGTCTGCATTTCTGCCTCATTATGCAAATGAGGAGGGGGCGTGTCCTAGAGAGTCAGCCAGAGTCAGATGAGCATACCTATAGTCAATACAACTTCATTCATTTAGTTCATCCCTTTAGTTTTGCATGAAAAATACACTTTAAACCACCTCAAATGGCCGTGTAGTCCTGTACAAAAACCATTTAATTACTTACTTTTTGGTGTTTTTTGAAACGTAGGGCAATTTGACCTTATAATGTTTTTTTTTTTGTTTTGTTTTTTTTTTTGTACATGTCTGTGGTCGGAAAATTTATATTTCTCGTCTCTTATATCTAGTTAAGTTATTTATCCAGTGAAAAATATTTTTACTCAGTTTGTTTCACCTGCAAGGCTTAGAAAGTGGTGGTTTAAGACAAAACATACTTATTTGCACGACACGCAAAATTGTTTCTCTAGGTTTGATAAAGTGTGAATCATTTGTTTTGACTCTGACAAAACCTTCACAGTTTTCCCCAAACATAAGTAAGGGAGACAAACTCTGTCTAGTCAGAACAGGGCTGATAACGGTTCCGTAAGGCCCGTTCGATGAACTGTTCTCTCTTTGCAAAGATAAGAAAATAAAGTACCAGCTGATTGAAATCCATGATCTCGGTTTTTTTAACTAGGGTGAATAGTTGAATACTTTTTTCCTGCTACAATTTGGCGTTGTCGGCAGGATCTCCTCGACTGATTTTTCTGGGAGCAGTTGTGACAGAAGTGTCTGATCCAGCTGGGAATAAATCCTGGCTTTAACACTAATAGATGGAGGATGGAGGACTTCTGATTCAATGTTTCCAGGGGTCAGCAGGAGATTAAGAACTGATATTTTTGAACGGTGAGAAATCTTCAGTCGGCATAGATCAAATCGTTTTAGATTTAAATTAATATAGAGGTAACAGTTTCTACTGGGGACTAGGGCTGCAACTAACGATTACCGTAAATTCTCTAATAT